CTTGCACTGGTTGAGGCACAGGCCCTTGCAGTTGCTCTCCTGGAGGAACTTGCACTTCTCGACGACCAGACCGCCGAGCTCGCCGTCGGCGCGCCGGTTCACGCTGCCCGGCCCCACGAGGAAGCCGAAGACGAGGGGCGCGACGACGGACGTCAGCAAGGGCGCGTAAATCGGCGGCTTTTGTAGCCCCAAGACCCGCTCGCCGGGCTTCCCCAGCGCCGGCACCTTGGCGAAGGCGTCGACGAGCCACGCCGGGTCGCCGCGCGCCGCCGACGGCACGAAGCCGCCCATGAAGAGGCGGTAGAACGGCGGCAGCGCGGGCGTCATGAGGTCCAGGAGCACGAGGCGCACCGTCTCCGTCTGCGCGGCCGCGTCGCCGGCCTCGTCGAACATGAGCACGCGCATCTCGTCCATCAACCCCAAGATGCCCCGCCGCGCGCTCCGGTAGGCGGGCCCGGGGGTCTCCTCCGCGTAGAAGTCGCGCGTGACCTTCAACAGAAACGAGTCCAACGGCGAATCCGCGAACGTCGCGTTCGGCAGAGCGCAGTCGGCGACGAGCGGCTCGTCGCCCGGTGGCGCGGCGACAACCACGGGCGCGGCGACGCGCACGAGGTTCGGCATGTGGTCCCGGGGCACGCCCTCGACGTTGCACAGCCAGCTGGCCGTGTCGACGTACGCCGCGCGGTCCCGTTTCAGGAGGTCGACGAGGAGGCCGTAGCGCCGCCGGCGCATGAGGAACGTCGCCCAGGTCTTCGCCGTCTGTTCAGCTTCGCCGAGTCGATGCGTGAGCGCGACGATGTCCTCGCGCTGCGGCCGATACGCGGCGAGGTCTTTGAGTAACGACGGCGCCTCGGCGAGGGGGCTCGCGGCCCGTCGCGGCGCCGGCGGCGGGCGGCGCGGCGCCAGGAAGGCCGTCGACGACGCGGCGCCGAGGGCGGCGAAGAGAATCGCGGCCACCATGCCGTCAGAGCGTCGCCTTCTTCACCATGCCGCGGATCGAGCCGATCGAGCCGTGTTGGAAAATCACCAGAGGCGTCGTACATACGCCACCTCGCAGCCCACGACACCTCGCGCCTCGTCGTGCCAGAACTCCAAGAAACACGCTCGCATCCACGCTCGCGCCATGTGCAAACCGACGGAGGCGCGCGACCAGCTGAGCAAGCCCCTGCTGCGCTACCGCTGCATTGCCAAGAAATCCGCGACGCTGCGCGCGGGCCGCGAGCTGTCGAGCGCAAAGCGCGAGGTCGAGATCCTCCACGGCTGGACCGTGGACGTCGCCGACGTCGTCGAGAACGGCGCGGGCGTCCTGCGCTGCCGCGTCGTGTCCTACTCGACGCCCTGGACGCCGCCCGGCGCGTCGGCGCAAGCCGCCGACGGCTGGGTCTCCGCGAAGCTCTTCGCCTACGACGGCCAGTCGGCGCACCCGAACCCGGACCGCGCGGAGGTCGAGGAGGAGGTGGAGGAGAAGAAGAAGCCGGCCAAGGAGAAGACGGGCTTCGCGGCCGTCTTCGACGCGCCGACCGGTGTGGGGGTCCTGACCAAACTTCGAACCTCTCTATCTCGGCGGATTATTGGACGAATCGAGTGCTCTCCTCGAGTTCTCGAAGCACAGCCGAATCCGTTCGATTACGCGCACACGGAATTCGAGTTGAAGATTTGGTTTCCACGCAGGCGCCGACCGGCGAGGGCCACGCGCTCCTCTTCCCGGGCCAGGGCGCGCAGAAGGTCGGCATGCTCGAGCCCTACAAGTCCGCGCCGGGCGTCAAGGCCATGTTCAAGAAGGCGAGTAAGATCTTCGGCACGGACCTGCTGGAGCTCGTGGAGAAGGGCCCCGCGGAGAAGCTGAACGACACGCGCTACTCGCAGGTCTGCGTCTTCCTCACGTCCATGGCCGCCGTCAAGAAGCTCGAGAAGGACGACCCCGACGCCGTCGCGCGCTGCAACGTCACGGCGGGCTTCTCGCTCGGCGAGTACTCGGCGCTGACGTTCGCGGGCGTCATGGAGCTCGAGACGGCGCTGACGCTCCTGAAGCTCCGCGGCGAGGCCATGGGCGCGGCCTGCGACCTCGCGCCGTCGGGCATGATGACGGTCATCGGCCTGGAGGACGAGGCGCTGGTCAAGGTCATGCCCGACGACGTCACCATCGCGAACCAGATGTTCCCGAAGGGCCGCGTGCTGTCCGGCTCCAAGGACGGCATCGCCAAGGTCGAGGCCGCCGTCAAGGCGCTCAACGTCGCGGGCGTCAAGACCATCGTGCAGCCCGCGGGCAGGCGGCGTCGTTTTTTTTTCGGGGGGGTTTTCGCGCGACTTCGAGCGCATGTTTTTTGGGCACGCGACGCGAAGCACTCGCGCGACGAGCCGTCCGCGCCGCGCCGCCGCCCGCGACGACGACGGGCGCCGACGACAAGCGGAGACACGCCGCCGCCGCCGACGACGCCCGCGGGCTCGCCGAGTCGGGGTCTGCTCCGCGCGGCCGGCGCGGACAGCTCGTCGCGCGATCTCGAACGCTGTTTCCGCTTCGAGTGGGGCGCGCGACGCGACGCCTCGAGTTCGTAGGTCTCCGGCGCGTTCCACTCGCCCTACATGGCCTCGGCGGCCGACAAGCTCGAGACGGCCCTCGCGTCCGCGACCTTTGGCGCGCCGAGCCGCGTCTGCTACTCGAACGTCGACGGCCGGCCCCACGCTGTGGACGCGGACTCGATCAAGCGCAAGATGAAGGAGCAGCTCATGGCCGGCGTCCTCTGGGAGGACACGATGAACCACATGAAGGCCGGCGCTGTGGAGCGCTACTTCGAGCCTGCGCCGGGCCGCCAGCTGTCCTCCATGCTCCGCCGGATCGATTCCGGGGAATACGCGAAGATGAAGAACGTGTAAGGGAGTAAGGGTGTTGTTCTTTGTTGTTTGACAATCTCACTCGGCTATATCGGCGCTGTTATTTTTTTTTTCAATTTTTTCCAATTTCAGTGTGCTCTGCCGTGGTCAAATCGACGCCGTTTTACTTGATTTTTGTCTGAATCGAATCCTCTCAATATTCTTCTATTTTACAAAACAAAAAAAAACCCCAGCCCGACCGCCGTCTACACCATACCATCCTTCAAATCTGGGTACCACTCGCATATGCGATCCTATGACCGTTCGTAGCCGACAGGTACGCTGTTCCGTTTGCCGATCTGACGAGATACTGGCATTGAAACGTACGCACACGTAAGTCTACCCTAGGCATGCGTACGTACTACGAACCTCGATAGGACACATGCTGAACATGGCGCGAACCCCAGATCTCCGGGGGAAATAGCGCATTCGGCGGTCGCAAAGCTTCCCGCTTATGCCGAATTGCAGGGTTGCAAACTTCTCACGCTCGGTGATGGATAAACTTGCAAACCTCAAGAACGGGTTCGAGCCGAAGCGGAAGCGGCCGAAGCATGGAGCTGCAAAGTGAGACGTGAACGCGGCAGGCGGCCAAACATGCACAACGTCCTCGTCATCCTCATCACAACAACCGCCGCTTTCACGCCGTCGAAGCCATCGCAATACGCCTGGACGAGCACGACCTACGGCGTCTGGTTCGATCCGCTCGTCGAGTTCGGCTACGACGTGCCGCGACAAAACGAGAAGCCCTTACTCCTCTACCTGCCGCCGCTCGAAGGCAACTGCCTCGCAGCCTTCGCGCAGTTCCCGAAGCTCGGCGCGGACTACGACGTCCTCGCCCTGTCGCCGCGCGCCGGCGACACCGGCGCCGCGAGCGATTGGCGCGGGTCCGTCGACGCGGTCGCGGCCTTCGTGCGACACGAGTCGAAGACCCGCGACGTCTACGTCTGCGGCGAGTCCTACGGCGGCTGCCAGGCGCTCGCGGTCGGCATCGCCGCGAAGCCGAAGGGCGTCGTCGCCGTGAACCCCGCGACGTCGTTCGGCCGGAGCGACCTGACGGAGCTCGCCGAGCGGATGAAGACCATGTCGAACCTCGAGTTCGCGATCACGTCCATCACGCTCCTCGCGACGCGTGTCGGCGATCCGACGCAGACTAGAACCATTCTTTCCACTCTATGGGACAACCCGATGAAGGACCCGAAGCGCTGCCCGCCCGCGCTCGCGGCCTACTTTGAACGCGTCCTGCCGCCCTTCGTGGAAGGCTTCAACGCGCCGAGACCCTTCTTCGAGGCGCGGCTCGCCGCGCTCGGCATCGGCGCCGCGGAGCTCGAGAACACGCTCGCGTCGCTCGACGCGCCGCTCCTCGTCGTCGCCGGCGACGTCGACCGCCTCGTGGGCTCCGCCGAAGAGGCGCCGCGGATCGCTTCTGTCGTCAGGGACACGACGATCCACGTCGTCCACGGCGCGGGCCACAGCGGCACGCTGGACCAGCGGTGCGACCTCCGGGAGGTCATGGCCGACTGGCGCGGGGGCTTAGAGCTGTGTGTGTGATCATGCGCTACGGGGCGAAAGAAGGTAACATGCTCAAGATTAGCCCCATTCCGGTGTCCAATCAAGGGGGGTTGGTCCAATGTCGCCCGGCGCCCGGGTTGGTGTAATGCCGATGGTATTCGGACAGGGGAAGCGGGACGGGGGGGAAGTCGCTGGCAACTGCACGATCTTTCGACCAGAATCCGACATCTTCTTCGCCCTCCCGAAACACCTGCCACCTTTGCTCCAACCGAACTTTGCCGTTTCTAAGGCGGATCGTCCGAAACTTGGCTTGGGGTCCATGCTCGCCGGAGTAGACGCGCACGAAGGAATACGTTCGCTCCGAGCCGCCGTCGATTCGCGCCTCCCGCGCGTTCTCCGACTCGACGACGTGCTGTAAGACGACCGGGAGTTCGGCGCGAGGCAAGAAGGTTTCGTGGGTCAGGTCGACATCGAGGAAACTGATGATGACGTTGAGCGGGTCCGCGGCGCTCAGGCGCCGCCGAAGGACGTCGCGCACGATATTCTGATGCCGGTAGAGTTGAGATGCCACAATCTTAGGAATGAGCGTGTTGTCTAACATGCAAAAGAATTGGAGAAGATGATGAGGCATTGTGTCAAAATGATTCCCTCCCTCCGTGAGATTGTGGAACGCTTCGCAGGATGCGTCGTGGGCGTCGACGGAATCAGGCAGGTTCTCACCAACAGCCTTGCGCAGCGCGCTGAGCTCGCAGAACTGCTCCCGGGCCCACTCGTAGAAGTCGGCCGCGGGCACGCGTTCGCCGCTCCGGTCCTCTACCTCTAGCGGCTCGCCGTCAGGGTTGTACGGATCGAAACTGATCGGAAAATACTGGGCGCATCTAAACATGACTCGAGTGTCGGGGGTAGCGCGAGAGGCCACGAACGACCGCGAGGGCCGAGACCGACAGTACGCGTCGGAGGCCCGGACCATCGCTTGCCACTCTCGCTCACTCAGCTCTCGCTTGTCAAGGCCGGTTTGGCTCGAGCGGGCTCGCGAGGGCGATGCGAGGGCCTCAACCGAGGACTCAACCGACGAACGCCTCGACCCGTGAACTCCGAACACGAAGTAACAGGGGTCTTTGGTTATCTTCGGGGTCTTCGTCGAAACCGCCCTACTCGGGCAGCGTCTTGGTCGGCGCCGCGAGGGGCCCCGCGGTCGCGTACACCGTCGCGACGCGGCTCGGGCGGCCGGAGATGAGCGAGCGGCGCCCCTTGTTCGTCGAGCGCCGCTTCCCGGCGCCGGACTTGTTCAGCGTCGACCGGCCCTCGAAGCGCTTGGGCTGCGTCGTCGTGCGGCCCGCGAGGACGACGAGGTCGCGGCCGTGCCACGTCTGCTTCGCGTTCTTGTCCCGCGGGTTGATGACCGTCTCCGTCGCGTCCTGGTAGCCGCAGAGCGTCTCCTCGTAGACCTGGCGGCGCGGGGGGTGGGGGGTGGACGGGGGAAAGAACGGGGGAAAAGAACGGGGGAAAGAACGGGGGAAAGAGCGGGGGTGAAAAGCCGTCCCGAGCCGGCCGCTCGCGCCGCGGGAAAAGAGGAGGAGACGCCGCTCCCGGACCTGGGCGCGCCTCTGGAGCTCGAAGAAGGTCAGCGACTCGCCCTTGGCGCAGTAGCGGAGGGCCGACTGCACGGAGAACGACGCGCCGCCCGGCCCGAGCAGTTGGCTCAGGATGGCCTCGATGGACCGGTCCTCCTCGCACATGGCGAGGATCTGGGCGATGAGCTTGTTCGACTGGCAGAAGTCGGACGTCGCGGCGACGGCCGCGTTCTTCTCGATCGTGTTCTGCGTCCGCGGGTCGAGCACCTGCGCGGGGGACAAGCGTCGAGCGCGCGACGAGCGCGCGCGGCTCGTCAAAACATGAGCCGAAGCGGCTTCGAGAGGCGTAACGTGTCGGTCGATTCCCGGACGCAGCCCGCCGCACCTCGCAGATGATCGGCGACGTCTCCTGGAGCTTCTGGCGGATCACGGCCATCTTCTTGATGTTCGACGACCGCGTCTCCTCCGGGTCGAGGCCCTGCGCGCGCTGCATGAGCTCCCGCTGGACCTCGCGGAGCTGGAGCAGCGTCGCGATGACCTACGAGTCGCGGCGCGGTCGCGGCGCGGCGAAGTCCCGGGAAGACGCCGCGGCCCGACGTGGCTGTCGCTGTGCATCATCTCCGTCTCCATGGCCTGGTCCGCGAAGATCATGCACGAGTCGTACTCGGCGATGGGCAGGGCCTCGAGCGACCGCCGCATGGCCGTGTTGCCGTCGAAGTGGACGATGCGCAGGTTCGTGAGCTCGCGCCGCACGTCGAGGCCCGCGGCCCGCAAGAACGCGTTGCGCTCGTTGATGGGGATCGTGTCGCTCATCATGTGGAGCTCGGACCCCGGCGCGACCTGCTTGTCGAGCTGCTTCAGGATGTCGCGGATGTCGCGGCGCCAGCCGCAGCAGAGGATCTTCTCCTTGGCGACGGGCGGCGGGTCGTGCTTCTCGAAGGGCTGCGTCGGGATGACCACGGGCGGGCCTGCGCGCGCATCACACAGTCCACACGTCGAGCACTCGACGAGCGGACACGAGTCGTCCAAAAATCAGCGTCGATTTCCGAAGCGTCCCGAACCGCGCCGGAAACGTACAGGGCTTGTAGGTGTCGTTGTCCTCGGCGAGGACGATGAGCTCGTCGCCCGGCGCGAAGACGCGCGCGCAGTCCGGGTTGAGCACGAGCTCGTCCGTCGGCGTCCGCACGCCGATGGGGATCGCGTTGGGAAACCGGAACGCGACCTCGCCGTAGGACAGCCCGTCGATGGCCGGCCAGGCCTGGGCGTAGAACTCGTCGCCGTCGAAGCCCAGCACCGTCGAGTAGACCGACGCCAGGCCCGGCTCGCGCGCGGACATGAGGATGAGCCGCCCGAGCACGTCGTGCGACGTCACCGTCTCGATGACGTCGCCGCCGACCAAGCGCACGAGGGGCTCGTTGTCGAGGTCGCGCATCTCCGCGACGATGTGGCCGCTGATGTAGTTCAGCGACTGCATGGCGAGCACGCAGCGCAGCGTGTGCGCGTCCGCGACGTCGGGGTCGCCCGGCGCGGCTAAAATCAGCGTCGCGCGCGCCTTCTCCGCGGACACCTTCGCCAGATCCTGCACGAGCACGGGCGACCCGCTCCGCAGCACGACCTTGGTCCCCCGCAGGCGCTGGCGCATGGCCAACGGCCCGCCGAGCTGCATGGACAGCTCCTGCTCCATCGACGGCTTCGCGCGGTCCGCCATGACGACGATCGTGCCGCCGCCTTCCGACTCGTTCGCGATGCAGATCTCCTCGATGACCAGCACGGTCTCGTGGGTCCAGCCCAGGATCAGCGAGTGGTCGCTCTCGACGACCCGCGAAATGCCCAGCTTGAGCTCGTCCATCTTCGCCTGGATCGCCTCGACCACGAAACCGAGAATCGCCGCCATCAGCAGAATGCCCGCGAGCGCGATGCCGATGGACACGAACTGGAAGCCCGTGCCCCGCGCCTCCGAGTGCGTGCCCGGGTCCGCCATGTAGGTCCAGGCGCGCCACATGCCCTGGGGCACGTTCTTCGCGCCGTCGACGGCGATGAGCGACAGCGCGCCGACGATGACCGTGAGCAGCGTGAGCGCCTGCGTAGGCGACGGTTTCCGACGTTTCGTACGCGCCGTCGAGCGCTCGACGAGGGACAACGACTCGTCCAACAAGGAGCCACGTCGACGCGGCCGACAAATCGACGCGCCGAGTTTAAAGTTTGATTCGCACACGGATTCACGCGATCATCGCGAGGAACTGGCCCGTGCGCGTGCCGAACCACTCGTCGAAGAAGTAGCCCAGCCGGGCGCTCAGCGTCGGCCAGAGGCCCGGCACCTCGACGACGCGGTCCGTCGTGCCCGGCGCGTTCAGCGCCTTTTGGAACACGTGCGCCGTCGACTGCAGGTCCGGGTCCGGCGCGACCTACGGCGGCGACGGTTTCGGAAAGCTCTCGTAACGCCGTTTGGGACCCCGGCGCGCCACGAAGCCGACCTTGCGCGTGCCCGGCGTGACGCCCCGGTCGTCCGCGCCGTCCTCCGTCAAACCCTCGACGACGTTGTGGACGCAGCGCTCGAGGGACCGGCCGACGGCCGCCTGTGTAATCGAACGTTTTTGACCAGCCTCTTCGGCTCTGCTTCGAGAACTCGATGAGCGATCGATTCGTCCAAAAATCAGCCGAATCGACTTCGATTTGACCGAGCTAGAGAATTTCAAAGTTTGGTCGGGGCGTCCCAAACCAGTGGTTGATTTCCCCACCGACGGCCGCGAGCTCGTCGTAGTGGTTCGCGGCGTACTCGGTCTTGGACGCCTCCTTGAGCGTGTGCTGCGACACGCGCAGGTACGCCAGGAGCGCCTCGCGCTTCGCGGCGGTGCCCGGCCCGTCGCGGGCGTACTGCGCCGCCGTTGCCATCGGGACGGGTGCGGGCTGGGTTCCGAGGAGCGGACGCGCGAGGCGTGCGTCGCCGAGAGGAGCGCACGGAGGTCACCGGCTGCGGCCCGCCATGGCCGCGGCGCGCGGCGAGCACCGATGCGGCGGCACCGCAGCCCAAACGCAGCAGCCCGCGCTATGGGCACTGCAAGCCATGCAACAAAAAGATACAGGCTCCCGAGCTGGACGGCAAGATGCCCCTCGTAACTCACGATGGAGCGCGCCGCGCTCCCGCGTCGGAGGCGTTGAACAAACCTTGAGCGGCGTCCGCCGCAGCGAGCGCGGACACGTCTCCAAAACATGCGCCGTCGCGTCGCGCCGGAGCTGCCCTCTGGAAAAAGTAGGCTCGTCAAGTTAAAGCTGCCCTGGGGCGTCTTCTCCAAGGGTACACATCCGTTACCAACGCAGCCCTCCGGCCCGGCGTGCCAGTTCACGGAGGCCTGGACCCCCGCGCCGCTCCTCGAGCGCGTCTGGGTCGACGCGGAGGTCGTCGTATTGACCTTTGGGCTGCCGGACCCCTCCGCGCCGCTCGGCTGCGGCGACGCGTACATCCCGTGCGTCCTCGCGCGCGGCGGCCGGGACCCCGCGACGGGCGCGGCCTTCGTGCGGCCCTACACGCCCATGGCGACGACGGGCGTCGGGAGCTTTCGGTTGAACGTGCGCGTCTACGAGGCGGGCAAGCTCTCGCGGCACCTCGCGGAAATGCCCGTGGGCGACTTCCTGGAGTTCCGCCACGTGCCGCCGGGCCACTACGCGCAGCGCTTCCTCGCCGCCGCCGACGACGTCGCCTTCGTCTGCGCGGGCACGGCGATCACGACGGCGTTCCAGGCGTTGGAGCGGGTCCTGCGGCGCGGGCGGGCGACGCGCGTCCGCCTCGTCTACGGCTCGCGGACGAAGGCGTCGATCCTCAACAAGGGCGACCTCGACGCGCTCGCGGCGGCCCACGGCGGCAAATTGGTCGTGACGCACGTGCTCTCGCGGGAGCCCGCGGACTCGGGCTGGCGCGGCGAGCGGGGCCGCGTCGACAGGGGCGTGCTCAAGCGCCACCTGCCGCCGCCGCGGGGCTCGGTCATCGTCTACGTCTGCGGCCCGGCGGGCCTCTGCGACGCGCTCTGCGGCGGCGGCGGCGACGGCCCGCCGCCGCCGCGGTGCTTCCCCTCCGGACGGCGGAAAGCGCGCGGCCTC